ACCTGCCGCTGATTGGAGCCTCATAGCCTCAACCACGTGGCACCCTTCGTCAGCGATGCTCCCCCACACCCCAACCCCACCGCACCCAGTGGAAAATAGCCGTTGATTATGACCGGTCACACCATGTCCGTCAGTTCTTACAGGCGGTCCCACCCCATTCTCAGGGCAATTGGATAATCAATTGTACCTTCAGGCTCAGAGTAAGAGGCAAAAAATAAAAATCTGCTCATGCAATCTCACCTACTAAAATGCCAATCCAGCAGCCGTTCCGAGTTTATCCATATATCAAGAATTCAAAGGATCAGTTGACACTCCACAATCTGCTGCTCACCATTTTCTCCATGCCAGTCCTAGCTATCCTCACGTTATTGTGCATTTTAATAGCAATAGAAGTTACACATATTTGGCCAAATTCATATAATTGAAATGCATGTGAATTTATTAATATCTGTGGAGTACTAATGTTTTCATTTGAATCTGAAAATTTTTAGACTCTCGAAAGCAAAACAAATACTTGTGAATTTAAATTAATGAAAAAGAGGTGATTGGTTTTTAACGTGATGGGTGACAATTACCATCTTCTAAATTCAACCCTAGTAAAAATTCCCTAGCTGGTTGCAGTTAGTTTCAGATGCTCAATTTTTCATGCAAGGGAATTACCCACTACAAAGAGAAATCCAGACAGTTGTTAATAGCTGAAATTGTGGTACAGATGGCAATGCATGAGAAACAGTAACGAAGCATTATTGACTTAGCATACATTTATTAAGGAAGTTAATTAAAGTGGCCCCAAGAATTACTGTAGTAGTAGAGACAGACATATAAAAGAGAGAGCAAAGAGTAGCAGACCTGGTTGCTGCATGGTCACAGCTACCAACTGAGACCAAAAAAGAAAGAAGAAAAACAGTGGGGAATAAATTTTTCTGCTCAAGAGAAAAGCCCTACTGTTTTTTATCCCCGAAATTGTGCGGGTGCTATAGGTAATAAAGCTGTTTTCTTGTAAAAGGATAAAAGGGTAAAGACATAGGTATTTTACAGGGGCAGCACTGGTGTGAATGGAATCCAAAGGAAGAGAGAGAGAAATGGGAGCATATGGAATGGTGGCAGGGTTGGTGGTGCTGAGCTGTGTAAATGTGATTCGTTGGAAGCAATCTTTGTCATCTGAGCTGCAATATCCGCGCGTGAAGGGATTGGTGGAAGCTAGTTTTTCTCATCAGAAAAACAGAAACCCTCCTTAAAGTCATAGTATTTGCAAATGCATCTTTATCCACTTCACACGATCAGACCTGTGCTTCTCTCTCTCTCTCTCTCTCTCTCTCTCTTTCATCCTCTTATTGATTATAATAGTTTATTTCTTTCTATTATATCTCTCCATATTCCTTACTAATTCTTCTATATTTTATTCAGTTCCTATTCTAAAATTTTATTTTTATCCTAGCTATCTTTTTCTGTTCAGGTGTAACTTGTAAGTAGGCCTATGGTTACACAAATCTTTTTGCAGCTGGATGTTTCGTCATATATTATTATCTTCCTTCCCATTTTTGTTGTGTTTGTAGTTCTGCCAGTTGGGTTAAGACATTTCATGATCAGGTTATAATTTCCTGTTTGCTCAACCATCCTGGAAGATTGAGCATACAAAAAAGTCAGGAGTGAGCACCTAATATGCATCTATAGTCAGTTAGCTTATGCAAAGGTAGGCTTTAGATCATAAGCTTAATTTTAGCTTATACAAATTGTTAATTCACTTTACAAGTAGCTAGCTAGCTATGCTTTGAAACAGCACTAAGTTTCCAACAATCATTAGCATGCATTATTTATGTACAAGAAAATTTACGAACGAGAAAGCTATTGTTTTGAAAGGTATCAGGTACGCAGATGATCAGATGGTTTGATTGCTTCCATCCCTAGGCCATAATGATGAAGTAAGTACTTGAATTTAGAATGATTTTTTCTGATATCTTGAAATATAGTGCAATTTCAAGTCGTAGGATATAAGAAATTTGTATAATTAAGACAGTAGTCAATATAACATAATCTTTTGAGAAATATTTTTTATTTCCCAGATTGGTTTTGAAGCTTCATAATTCTCTAACCAGAAAAATTCTAAATTTGCTTCCTACATAGACAACAATTTACATGGATGAACAAACAGTGTCAGTTCCAAATTTAAAATGAGGTGTTAAGTCTACACATAACTGTCAATGTTTCACATTATTCTTAAACGCAGCAGCTGATTTATTTATTACTATCCTTGACAGCAGTAATAATATCTCTTCTCTAGGCTTTATTTTTCACTTTTATTGGTGCCTGAAAGCTCTGATAAAAGGCGCAGAAGCCATGCCTCTGGCTCTGCTGCCACCTCCAATTGGGGTAAGAAAATTGAAGTAAGAAGAAAAAGAGGGTTTAGTGAAAATGGCAGCAACAAGATTGACGAATGGTTTTATAAGGGGAAAAAAATGAGGATGGTATGGAGCGTTCCTGTCTTTAACTTGCTGTAGAACGCCTTTGCAAAAGGTCCAAGTTGTGTGTTTCATCAACAGACTCAGATCATGGCCAACAATTTGTTTTAAACAGAAATATTGGAAATTTTCTCTTCTTTTCTCAAATATATAAAAGAGAAGGTTACAAAAGTAATGGAGATTCTTCTGTCAGTGTCTCTATTAGGCTTCTGCGGACGTTTCTTCCAGCCTGGTCCCATCGTACTTGCAGGCAAGATACCAGAATAACCCATCGATTCATTGTTTTACCTATAATGCCCTCAGGTTGCAACTCACGACCAGTAAATCAAGAAAATTACAAAGCTAAACATAAAAACATGAATCCTATTTACCAAAGAGACCTTGCTTCTTCTCTTTTTCATCTTCCTAAAACCTATATCCGAGTCAGAGGCTGTCCCCCTTGGCATAATAAGGACCAACAACCAAATCCCCCATTCTGATATATTTAAGTTCATTATCACAATTCAATTTTGTTTTTTTTTTCAGCCAAATAAAATATACATATATCTTACTAGCTTGTAGTATATGTCATTTTTAAAATAATGGAGGAACCACAAGCTTAAGAAAGCAATGGATTATTCAGTGGGTTTGATCATGCCAGCATGAAAATAGTTACAAAAATTGCTCTAAAGATTCAGTGAAGTTTGTCTCCTATATTGGTCTCAATACAAGCCACTCAATTTGTCTGGTACATTTAAATAATTTAAATCTCTGTTCAAACTGTTTAATTGGATGCAAATGATTTAAACTTGAAGTAATCTTACTTCAGTTTCTTACAAGTATGCAATAAAGTAGACTTTGCAAAATTTTGTAATAAAAGATCATAGCTATTGTAGTTTGACCGAAAGGATATCTATAAATATCTTGTAATTGGATTTTTTTATTATCTAATCTGATTAAGTGAAATTAAAATACTTTATATTGAGATTTAGATAAGGTTTGAATGGTAAAATTATTATTTATTTTAAATTCAAATAAAATTCGAGTAGTGGTTTTTAGAATATCTACCATCTAAATTTAATTATAAATAATTATTTTTAATATTAATTTTTATTTTTTTATAAATTCATTCTAATTAATATAGTAATTACTAAGATTCATTAATTATTCTAAATATGATTTTAAACTTTAATTTATTCTTTTTGTAAACTAATTTTAATTAATAGTATATATAATATATTGATTTTAAATTTATTTTAATATAATAATTAACGAGTATGAGTATTTAATGACTAATGTTTAAGGTATTTAGATGTAAATTTAAATAATTAATAAAATAAGAGTTAAGATATCTAAAAATAGCATATACCCTATTTGTTCACATTCTTTGATTTTGGTTATAAATCACTAAAGAATGAAGTTACTCTTCACATCATATGGCAAAAGGGTGTCCAATATGTGGGTATTGTTTGGTATGATTTCACAATGAGATGAGATGAGAATGAGTCGATAAATGGTTTTCACTTTTCATTTAAAAGCTTGGAGGGGGCAGGTTCTGGTAAATGTAGTTGAAAGAAGAGGGCAGTTTAGTAAAGTAGAGGTCCTAACTGCGCATTTAAAGCATGCAATAAAACGGTAACAAATGTAGATTGCCAAAACAAGGAAAAAGCCAAAAAATTTAAAAACCCTAGACAGTCCTCAGCTTGTATTTATAACACCTTTGAGGCCCTCCGGTCTACTCCGGATCAGCCTCTGCTCCTGTCTCTGCATTGTGTACTTTGTCTTTCAGAATATTTGAGGGAAAAACCCATGATTCTTCCAACCGCCTTTCTCTTTCTACTTGTCCTGAGTTGAAAAAGAAGAAAGAAAGAAAGAAAGAGGGACTTGCACTCAATATTCGTACCTCAAATAGTTAAAAAAGGGTGAGACATGAAGGGTCGATCTTCCAAGCAAGAAACGAAAGAAGGATTGGAAATTGATAAAATTAGCGAACCCAAAGAAGAGCCTCATCTCTCTGGTGCTTATATCCGTAGCCTTGTTAAACAACTGACCTCTTCCAGAACCAAAGACCCCATGAACCCCAGGGACCCTGGCTCTGTTGATGTTGACGGTTTTAATGGCCAAAATTCTTCCAAATTTGGTGAAGGTTTTAGTGAAACACCACAGACCCAGCAACCCCAACCACCCCAGCAACATAAGAAGCAGGTTCGGAGGAGACTTCACACCAGCAGGCCTTACCAAGAAAGGCTGCTTAACATGGCAGAGGCCAGGAGAGAAATTGTCACTGCACTCAAGTTCCACAGAGCTGCCATGAAGCAAGCCAATGAGCAGCAGCAACAGCAACAGCAACAGCAACAACAAGAGCTACAACAACAGCAATCATCAGAGACCTCTCATCTTTCACCTCCACCACCTTTTGAACAAGAATCAAAGACAAAGTCTAGGAGAAATCCTAGAATATACCCATCAAACACAAACAACTTCTCTACTTATAATTTAGACAATTTTTCCTATTCATCTTTCTCTCAACGTTACCCTCCTCTTCCTCCTCCTCCTCTCCCAAATCCATATTCTTGGCCTGCTTCTCCAATTCCTCTCCCATCGGCCACAGACACTTTGAACTTCACTCTACCAAACCAACCCTTAGGTCTAAACCTAAACTTTCATGATTTCAACAACATAGATACCACCCTTTATCATAACAGCAACAACCCATCAATCTACTCATCCTCATCTCCATCATCATCATCTTCCCCAACTTTATCCGTTGTAACTGAAGAAGTTGCTTCAGCTGCAATATCACATGAAGTGGGGCCTACAGCTATGGCTGATTTAGCTGAATCCTACGGTGGGGGAGGCCTGCATCAAGCGATAAATGATGAGGAAATGGCAGAGATCAGATCATTAGGAGAGCAGCATCAAATGGAGTGGAATGACACAATGAATTTGGTAACATCAGCGTGGTGGTTCAAGTTCTTGACGACTATGGAACTTGGGCCTGAAGTGATAGCTGAGGATGATGGGTATCAACCATTTGATCAAGTCATGGAATTTCCTGCGTGGTTGAATGGAAATGACGGCTGCTTGCAGCAGCATTTCAATGATCTTTGCCCTGATGACTACTTCCAGGATCCTGCCTTGCCTTGGTAAGAATCCAATTTCAAAAATAAAAAGTTCAGAAAGAATCAATTAGGAATGTTTCTCATGTCATGCCCTTCCATACAGTGGCAATTTAATTATTAACAAAAATCAAAATAATTTGGTCCTCAGCATTTTGGTAAATTCCATCAGAGCTCAGTTAAGTTCAATGGAAGACGAGAGTTTCTAGGAATCCCAATTGGATTCAATTGAGTTGCAATTTCTGACCTAGAGAAGGGTCAATTTACCTCTTCTGTTGAGCCATATGAAGCTTCATCTTTTTATTTTTCACAAACATAAATCTTGATCGATTAGATGCCAATGTCTTCACCCAAATACAAAGCTGAAGAGCCCAAGAAAGGCCCATTTAAGTTTGGGATATGGGCTTTCTTATAGAATTTGGGTCAATTGGACCAGTCCAGAAGAGTTTCTCAATTCTGTGTAGCCTAATGTGTACAAAAAGTTGATTAATTCCATTGCCATGGAAAGTTGTTCATATTTTATGAGTTCACTAACCTTGGTTTTTCCTTCTGATTTTTGTCCTATATTGTTGTGATGAACAGCATGGACATTGGAGAAATTGAAGGAATGGATGGAGAGTGGCTGGCTTGATCATTTGACAAGGATTGATTATGTTTTTAATTAATCAAATCTTTGGCATTGGTTCCCTTTTGTTTTCATTTTCAGTCCCTTTCTCCCCTACTTTCTATATTTTACTACTAGTGTTATATCTAATAAGGCTTGCAAATATGTGAAAGGTGTAAGGCCATTGAGGTTAATAAATGTATCGAGAGGAATCTGCTTTTTCCTCTTACCAGTTATCCAATATCAACAATTTTATGTATTTTCTCATTTCTTATTCTAGTCTTACAGCTGCATGCCTTTAATCCCATATCTTCATTGCAGGCAAAGGGTTGAAATTTCTATATGTAGATGGTACAATTCATGCTGACCAAATATAGTGAAGATAATAAATCAAATTTACAAATAATTATAATTATCTGTTTATTATTTAAAAATGAAAGTTTGTTTACTAATAGGACCGCAAATTTAAAGGCCATTTTTATTTATTTTAATCACCTGATTATGCCTTAAATTGCAGTTTAATATTTCAAAACCAATTCGAATTAAAATGTAATAGTAATTAAGAAAGAGTAAAATCTATTATTGATATTCAATAATTGTAACTAATAAGTAATTGTACACTGATTCTAACTTTTTTATTTTATATTTTGCTACATAGCAGGTATATATATATATATATATATATATACAATAATAGTTGCATTATATATATATATATATATATAAATAATTTGATTGAGATTGTAGTACAAAAAATAGTGAAGTCTTTGTCATCCCATAAATTTGAGATGAAACCTCAATTAATTTCAACAAGAAGAGAGTTTATGGAAAAGGGAGAACTACTCTCCTCCGCTCGTGTTGTCCAGAAGAGAAAAAAGCAAGAGGAGTCCTAAAAGGGGTGGATTGGGACACAGGCAGCTAAGCTTTACATGCGGGCCAATTGTCGAAAAGCAGCCATGCAGGAGGGCAAGCGTCAAAGCCAGGATACATAGTATTAAGCTACTACTCCCAATTTGCCAGATCAGTTCATGCATGTTTATTCGACCACAAATTTCAACTCTGCCTCATTAATCGAGCACGGCAACGATTTGTAACCATCAGTTTACATTAACTCAACCCATCATATTAAATTAAAGTTTCTCTTCCTACGACACCCTCCCACTAGAAAAGAAAGAAAAACAGAAAGACCTTGACTCCAATGTGAAAGTATCTTTTTGTTCTTCAACCGGTCTTCCATCATGGTTTCAATCAAATCTCAATTCCTGGCATGCACGTTGAGATAATATACCTCATCATGATCATGTACCCAATTATTCTCAGTTTTCCCCAGTAAAGCTTGCAGTGTGTTTTTTGTTTTTCCCTTCTCTTGTAACTACTATTTTCTTAATCCAAGGTTCAGTGTATTCAGTCACAAATTGCCAAACTGATTGCAGATTCACTCTCTTTTTAATATTTTCTATTTTCTGAAAGACCAAATTGTCAAGATGCCCCACCTGCCAAACCTGCAACTTATAAACCAAAATTAATCATTTAGTCAATTTTTTTTATAACAAAAGAAGAGACTTTAGATTTTTTATAATTGTCTCGTATTTTATTTTCTTAAAGAAATATAATTCAATTAATTAACTTAATTTAAAGTTATTACCGTGTGACAATTCAAAGTATAACCCGATGTTAATTTCAGCATGAACTTTAAGCTAACCCTATGTTACAAAGTTATAGAGTATGCCATAGTTGCCCCTTGTTAGCCCGTCCTCTTTAGGAGGGTACTGAAAGTATAAGGTTGGTATGCTCCCTTCTCCGTGGACTTCCTTACATTACTAAAAGGAAAAAAAGTAAAATCGCATTTATGCCTTTGTGAATGTAGATATGATTAATACAATAAACTTATATATATAGTAGCTGGTTGAAGTCTTAATATTTTAAAGGGGTATTTTTAAAAATAATCTTTAAAAATAAAATATTTTTATAAATAATTTTTTATAATTTTAACTATTTTTAATCAAGTTGAATAAAATTATTTTTAATGAAATTACACGTCATGGTAAGGTTATTACACGCTATATTGAAATAAAATATTATTATTACACATCATGTAAAAAACATATTACATAGTTAAAAATGATTATTACATACCATATTAAAAAAAAATATTGTTAGACTTTATTATTGTTACACGTCATAGTCAAAAATATTTTGTTATACTTTAATACTTAAAATGTTGTTGTTACTTACGAGCCAAAGCTTCAAATCCTCTCAACTCTCTTCATTTTATTTTGTTTTTTTTTTGACAATCTGATATCGATTAAAGTATTTTTAATATGTTTTCATAGATTAAAATATAAATTTTCTTATTTAAAACACTTATTTTGATTAAAAAAAATTCTTTTAAAAACTTAGGTTTATAAATTTCAAATTCTTGAGTTTATTGGTACTTAGATCTCAAATTGATCCAATGAAAAGTTATTTCAAGGCATTTCTACCGTTTTAATTTTATCCAAAATACCTAAAAATCAAAATTTTCAAATAGTCACCTACCCAAGCATATCAAAACCATCACTTGGTGTCTTGAAAGTGCAAGAAGGAGAAATTTGAAAACATAAGATAGAGAAATTTGAAAGTGCATGAGAGAGAAATCGTGAGTATAGCAGACAAATACCGAAGAGAAATTGATAAAATTAAAGAGAGTGAGATGATGAGAGAGAAATTGAAAGTACAAATAGAGATAAATTGTAATGAATGATTTAATTTATTTAAAATAATTTTAAGAGTATTTTTGTCAAAATATAATTAAATATGACAAAAATAATTAAATTTATTTTGATTGTTATTTTTGAAATGCCTTATCAAGGAAAGTTATTCCTCATAATTTTTTCTATTTTAATGTTAATGTTCTCATAATAAGTTTGGATTATAATAGTATTAATTAGACCCTCAATCAAACATGTGCAGCAGTTCTACACATTAATAATAAAAGAAAATCACATGACGACAAATGTAGCATAAAGATTAATTCCTTTATTCTAAATTCCATTGATAACTAAAACTCAGTACACCATACGTGAAGGTAATTGTCACTGCAGGACATATATGATAGATAAACTATTTTATTCTTTAGCTGTAGCCTGAGATGGAATATACTAATCAACATCTATCAAGTTTATTTGTCTTCTCCATAATCTTGACTGTTGTAAGGAGCAAAAGCTTCCAGGAACCAGTTATTCTTCCTCCAGGATTTCCATCCCATCTCTTCACAAATCTCATCGCTGTGATTAATACTGAAAGTAGAAATGCAATGTCTCTTGTAGAAACGAGTTGTTTTCTTCATGACCTCCATTTCTTTGGTAGTTTGGTCAAGCATTTTCTCAATGCTGGGAAGCTTGAATAGACCATCAGCCAGTCGAGACAGCCATTTGCATCTTATCTCTGCTGTATGCAGGTTCGAAACACTCTCAATGTACCCCACGAATGCCATGTTTGGAATCAGCGGATGGATTGTGCCCCTGCAAAAGCAACATATATACTTTATCAGCTCAAAAGATCTTAGTTATTCTGGAAAAGCAATATATATGATCCCATCGATCATTTCTTGATATTTATTATACCTGTATAAAGGCATGATCCCAGAGGAGTCTACTATCAGACTCAAGAAAGGTTCAGGCAGAAGATCCTGGATCTTCTTTTTCCCATCATAACCACTAGCAAGGAGTACAACATCAGCCTCTATTTTGGTGTTGTCCTCAAATTCAAGCCCACCATTCCAGAACCACCATTTCGATGCTCTTTTGAACAATATCTTTCCCTTGTCTGCCTCTGGAAAGAAATTTTCAGGTAGGATAGCCATCTGGCAGGAGGCGTAATCCTCCTCAAATGGGTGATCTGGTTTCAGTCCATACTTCACTAGTGGAAGCTTCCACACCAAGTACGACTCTATGAACTTGGAAACTGCTTTTCGCTGCATAAAGGAAAAACAAAAAACAAAAAGAAGTATTTTTGTTTTGCTCAGTAACAAAAAGAAGTAATTAGCTGCTATAGATGGTAAATAATTAGATAGAATACAAGACTGTAGCAATGATTAAGACATGACGGAAATAAGGAAGAAAAGTGAAAATTAAGTGGTAGGTAAAGAAATGGAAGTTAAATTACCATGGGAGACAAAAGAGGGCAAAGCAAATTCCTGAGCAGCCCTTGGTTTGGCCTTTCATGGAGAAATTGAGAAGACCTTGTTGAATAAAACAAGAAAAAGGGCAAACCCCAAATCCAGTAAGCTGGAACGGTCCAATGTAAAGTCCTTATCACCATTGTACATGGTTGTCCATCCGGTCCTTTTTTAACAAAACAGGCGAAGCAAAAGCGTCAAGATACAAAAGTCAGGTAGTCAAAATCACGTTGCATTCTAGAACCAAACCTCAATCTAGCTAGCATGCATTTTATGACTATATATTAACCAATCAGGGTATCTAAAAATCGCAGGGTTTTTTTTTTTTCTTTAAGCAATAAAATATGTTAAATTTTGTGAAAAATAAAATTTGTGTAGTTACCTTGCTAAGTAAGCATGCATGTCAGAAATCAAATCCTCAGTTGACCTTTTGGTATGATTCGTTGGCTTTGTTGACCAGTCTGCTTACCTTGCTATAGGGAAGCATGCATGCGACTTTATGTTGGATGTCAGTCAAATTAGGGTTTGTCTCCTATTTGGCTCTTTCTAAATACTTTTCTTTTTTTATATATAGTGTGTGTATATGCATGTCACTAGTTAACCTTGTGTATTTACGCCAATACATATGTATATGTATGTATATACCTTGGTTTGCCTCTGCACACTCGGTAGCTAAATCAATGGCTGATTTCTTATAGCCGGCAACAGCAACTTTTTTTCCTTTCAACAACTCACGGGCGGCTTCTTTATCAAGTTTAGAGTACTCGAGGGTGTGCATAACCTTCCCACCGAAAATTTCTTGGCCTTTGTTGGGAGGGAAAACTGGCATTCTTGGTACATCCCCATATTTGCCAATGCATACCACCAGCAATTCGAAAGCATACATCTGCAGTTCCAACAATTCCAGAATTATTAACAGGATCGAGGGAATAAATAGTGTCAAGCATTAATTATAACATGTAAAAACGTTTTGTTGTACATAGATAGGTACAAAGATTCTCGGGTCAACTTCCACCAGGTCTAGCTAAGAATTTTAAACCCTTCAGACCGTGACTAAAAAAGCACATATGTCAAGAAAAACTAATTGACTTACTAGCGATCGCGATATGAAAACCACAAAGATTACTTTTGTGTTTAATAACTCATCAACTGAAGGACATGGCCACGACATGCACTTGGACAGGAAGTTCATACGATAAATAAATAAATAATTCAACACTAGGAAAAGACAGCGGCCCCATGCCCGTCGAAACATGCAGGATTTCCAAGTGAAACAAGCATGCCAAATCATCAAGAAAAGTGAAGAAGAAAATGAAAAATATATGTTTACGAGTGGTGCAAATTAGTGATATGATGTCTAGAGAACAACCTCAACAGTTTTTGATGGATTAGTTTCCACAGCGACCTCCCAGACAGGATGGCCTCTCAAAAGAGATCCAAACTCTCCAGGCGCCATATCCAAGTTGGTTGTTTCTCGGTCACCTATGTACCGAATCTCCACCACCCTGGAATTGAACTTGATGAACTTCAACACATCAAAGTGCGTAGCATAATTATGCAAGTAATCCAGGATCTCAAGGTAAGAAGGGAAACTCGAATTATCCCTTTGGGGCCAAGGGTAATCCGAGAACTCAAAGTCACATCGAGGGGTTTGGAGTTTGGTGGAGGCAAATGAACAATGTTTCCAAACGCCACCTATTGAATCAGTGGCCTCGAAAACAATTGGATTTTGATGGGAGAGCTGTTTAGCAGCGGCAATTCCACTAATACCAGCCCCTATAATCCCAACTCTGGATGATTTAAGGTAGCGCTGCTCGCAAGACATATTGGTATATACGAATATATGATACTGCAGCAATGGACTAGCTTATCTGATTGTATTGGTGTGTTGGAGCTGAGAGTCTGGTTGACTATTTATACAGGCAGATGAGGAATGACCAGATGGATTTCCTTGTAAGTGGTAACTCAATAATTTAAGTGAATTTTGTTAGGTTCAACAGTAGTTCCATGTTTGCCGCCCCTTAATTTCCTTTGTCAACTGCAACAAATGTCACTGTTACATTACTATACTTTCTCGTACTTGGTAAATATCGTCAAATCAGAATTAATTAGTTAAATCTTTCATCGCTAGTTTTATGTATTTTATTTTTGAGGAAAAGTCTCGTTATTAATTAATATACACATAATTTTGATGAAATTAATAAATTAATCTCCACTTCCTTTAATTATTTTTTCTCCTCTCTTTGTGACTCATGAATGATGAACTTGGCAGCATTATTCATATAAAATAAAATTTTTCTTTAAGGATTAGTTAGCATAAGACAGCTTTGAATTCTTTGCGTTCCCATGGCCATATATATAAATAAAATTTGACCATGATCTTCCTACAATGTGTTCGTGTTTCTCGGTTGAGGTCAATGCATAAAGTTTTCATCTTAGAGACGAAGTTCTACTTAATTAATTCGTACAATCAAGTTCCGTTCTCTTGTACTGTGTCAGAGATCTTACAATGCCTTGGCTATCTGCTTGATTAATGGGTTGACTCATTAAAATATGTGCAGGATTTTTCTTCTTCATCATTGTACATGGAGTTGACAAAAGAGAAAAACTGTAGCAAAACCAAGTTCCTTATCAGATAAGTATACATATTATAATATTGATATTTAAATATGATTATTGACTGCATCGTGGCTTTGGCCATTGCTCCATTGCGCGTGTCAACTACTCTAATAATTAAACCAACTGCATATGCGAATTCGTCTCTGCTGAAAAGGAAATTGGAAGAACTAAGTTTTGCTTTGACTTAAGAGATCGCTGATTAAAGGCATGGGAGGGATATACTCAAGGGGTAAATTACTGATTAAACTTGAATTTTCAAGCTCATATGGTATTCAGATTGAAGGTTTCTTCTTCTGAGCTGCCAAAACTTATCGTCAAATGCAAAGAGAATTTCCTTATTCTTAGAAAAAACAAAAAGAAAATGTTAGGTTTGCATTTGAAAGGCATAGTTATAATGGCATCTTATGGATATTGATATATGTATGGGATACCTTAATTTCCTACCAATCCTGCTAGATTTTATATCCAATTTGAAGTAAAATTTAGAAAAGTAAAATAATTGTGTTCAAAAAGTCGGTTTTGGTGGTCAACAGGGGTGTTTAGTCGGAACTTTCATGGGAAAGGAGATAGAAAATGAAATAGTGAGGTAACCGGCAATTTTTCCAACCAATTGCTTTTATCTCTGATGATGGGAAATTTTGACAGAAGATTAGTAAGGCATAGGTACTGTTCTTTGTCACATATAGAGAAGTTTAATACGCCAAGGAGTTAATTAGTGATTGGCTTCTTTTCCAACAAGCTACTAGAGGGAGGAAAAATAACTAAGGATAGAATTAATTAATTTCCCTCATTTTGTACAAATTAGAAATAGAAGGAAATATTTTTCATTTTTCAGTATTGATGAATTAATCTTAATTCTTCTATAAATGGGAAAACATTTTAATATTGAGGGTCACGTTTTTATTATGTTTTTGTTTTCTTTTAAGATAAAGAGTGTGTAGTATAACTAGCATCAAGATAAGCTCTCAACTACCAATTTCATTTTCTTCATTCAGCATTTATTGGCTTAGAATTTGTCATGATCCAAGCATAACTTAGAGCGATGACAAATTTCCTTTCCAATCCTTCTCATTGGGGTTTCTCTTCCAATCGTCTTTCCTCCCAACCCAATAAAATACTGCAACTAGTTGGACCATGCTTTGAGAACAGCAACATCCCGGAAATAAACAGGAAACTCCATGGAAAAGGTATATTCAACAATGGATCAATTCAAACCATTGTCCTTATTACACTTAAAAAGTAGTATGGCCGACGAGATCACAAGTCATTTTCTTGACGACAAGCTACATGATAATCAATGCCTTAAAATGAACAAATGTCTCAATTTCAAACCATGCATGTGTTTAGAGCTAGCTGTCCCTGATCTCTTTAGAACCTTGTTTATTATGTGGAAAAAGATATTCGTCTACTCTCTTTCTTGGTGACGGAATTTGGTAGCTATATATCATACTGTCTCCACACTTTTTTCCTTGAATTTGTGGAAATTTTCTGCTGTGCCTATGACTATATATATATATACAGAGAAAGAAAGAGAGAATGAGAGTGATTTAAGACCAAAAGCACCTGTACCATTCATCAAGAAAATGATGTTCCTTCTTCTCTTCTTGTAATATAAACAAAAAGGCTGTGAGAATTCAAGGATGCAACTTGAGAAAAATGCAGTTTCCTAGCAGCGCCCTCCCTTGTGGTGCTTCTCCAAGTGCATCACGTCACATTGTATGAATGACCCTTTATTTTTTAAGAAGATGCCTTAACAATTAAATTTTTATTTTTTTATATTCATACGTAAATATGAAGACGGTATCATAAGATTTATGAAAAGAAAAAAAAATTTATTGTGTCTAAACTCAAGGAGCAACCATATGTTTTTTGGAAAAAAAAATGGCAGCCATGCATGAAATGATGCTGGGACAGAGAAAGGAGCTCGAAGTAGAGGCAGAAGATTCGCATTCCCCAAGTAGATTTAAATAAATGTATATCTAATTAAAAAAAATTAAGACAGAACTTACAATTTGTTTTTAAAAGAAGGAAATCCCGAATTATTCATAATCGAATTATTAAATTCCTTGTTACATAGCCATTTCCAAGAAGCCTTAAATAATTTCGTTTTTTTTTAAAAAAAAACCATTATCTTATAAGATGCTTGTAAACATCTAATTTAGATATTCAACACAGGAAAAAGACTATTAATAAAAATACAAGAAATAAATATGCAATCATCAGTTGTTATATTTTAAAAAGGAAATTGAAATGATTGATAGAATTTCCATATTTTTAACCCAACTTCATAATTACATGTAAAAAAATCAAATGTTTTCTCTTCCTATTTTTGTTATATTTGCCTCTCTCTTCTTTTTTCTTTTTTGTTTTCTTTTTATCTCTAGTAGAAGAAATTAAAGCTTTTAGTATACAAAAAATACAGGCAAGAACCCAAAAAAAACAAGTCCTTTTATCGAAAAGGAACCAAAAATCCACAAAGCTGATCGTATTCAAACGGACAGTAAAGATGTTAATAATTGTCTTGACATTTTGGCTCAAAAAATGAAATATTATAGTAGTAATTTTTTAACCTTGTTTGGGTTTACAAATGCAACACAAATTTAAAGACAAATTGTCTCTTTTCGTGGAATTTCCACGAGAAAAAAACTGGGAACACACTCAACAACCGCATTTAGTGCTCTTTTGTTGTAGATATTCCAGCTCCAAGACCATCCCTCAGTCAATAAAGTTTTCTCTTTAGCAATCAAATAATTTTTAATAAGGCATTGTTGTTTTTTCTACTAGTAAGAATGTTTTGACTTCGTGGAAATGGGGTTGGTTTAGGCTTCTCTGAGGAAGTTGGTCTTTGGGGAAAGATGGGTCAGTCCTACCTGGCTAGTAAGTCCGCGTTGCATTTAAAGTTTCCTCCACAGTAGTGCATGACCTAAACTAGCTGATGATCACCCTGGTTTCTACACATGATTATTTATGCTAAACATCTCCAAAAAAAAGAACCATACAAAAACAATCTTCTTTTCAATTTCTTTTTTATTTTTACACCAGTTGTTGAGCTTTACCCTTTAAAGGGCCACAATTAATTTGGTTTGACTAAATTTGTTAGAAAACCATCCATAAAATATACACAAGTACTTTGACTGGGATATGCCTTGCGTTGGTTTTTGTAGTTGGAGATGAGTGGTTTTGGATTTGAAGTCTATGGTTTTTGAAGGAGAGGCATGATTAGTAATTGGTTAGGTTCAAAATCCTGGAATCCAATTTGAACATACAAGCACAAGGTTATAAATGTGAGTAGTAACTAAGTATTGTAATCATGTGAGGTATGGTGGGGTTAGATCTAAGTTTCAGGCTTTTTGTTTTTCTCAGAAAGAAATTTTAGTGTGTAGCCTGAAAATAATTACCATTACAATGGTGCAATGCATTTTGTTGGGTTTGAAGTTTGACCTCTTGAAACGGCTACATATGCATAGATGAAACCAATGATAAGTGGAGTTTTTTTTTTTTTTGGCGCTTGATTCTGGGTCTTATTTAATTATTTGCTCAAGAAAATTGCTCAAACATCTTGTATGGCTCAAAAATGCATGGAGGACTCATTGCAGGCGTAATTTCATCATGCAGAGTCTGAGAAACAGGACATATCACATCATCTGTCAAGAATTTCATGTCTAGCAATTTTATTCCAAGCATCACCTTTAGAATCCTGTATCAAAATCCCCATAGCAGGACAGGGACGCATTGCTGGCTGGCAACCCCTAGTATTTGTCCAGGACAGTTGGCACCTTTTTGTGGCGAAATCCTGTTGAGTACACTTACGAGCATCGTTCAACACTCAATTAAACCCTTTAACTTTATGGAAAAAAATATAAAATAAAATTGTGCACAAGCCTTGGGCCTAGAGCTCATTGGATCAGAGAGGAAATCTAAAATATTGTTTCGTGCGCTTTGAACGCTTCCCAAAAGCACGATGAGAATAGAGGTTTTGATGGAATTTTTGATTTGTCATTAAAGTTTTTCTCAATGGGTCATTAGATGTGAGATTGTTGTAGAATAATGATGGATTTCACATCAGCTTTATCTTAATATTTTTATAATATTATTTTTTAGTAAATATTTTTTCAAGATCCCATCAAGAGGAAGTTAATAAAGAGGTGATCTTGATTCTAGGCGAGTATGTTGAGTTTTAGGTTGATTAAAATTCTAAAACTTATT